AAAAAATTTTTTATATTGCGATTATTTGCATTGGACTCTATATTTATGAAAGGAGAAATCTGCAATGTCGGCTTTGGTTAAATCTTGGTGCGACATAGCATAGATCATCAATTTTACTGCATTTTTGCATTTACTCAGAAATTAATTTATTATATATTATTTATTTCCTTTAGTCTACGATGGATCCCGTAGCTGAGGCCTTATTTAAACAAATCATTTCAAAGAAAAAAAAATCTTAGAATTCCCATTACAACTACGAACCTTCGCATCAACTCTCCTATTTTTGTCATCAAAGACTTATGCATATATACGAAAAGTATTTTCCATCTCTCTACCTCATCCTTCCACTGTTCGAAAATGGTTTACGTCTATTGATAGTAGACCAGGAATATCTAAACCAGCATTACAAGTACTTGAAGGAAAGCTGCTACTAGCTCAAAAAAAGAAAAAAATTTTATTATGTAGTGTTACCGTTGATGATATGGCCATTAGAAAGCACTTACGGTGGAACAAAATATACCGGTTTTGTTAGCGATGCTAATGATAGTAGCGATAAAAACAAAAGCACTGTAATGGCAACCCAAGCCATGGTAGTGATGGTTGTTTGTTTAAATGAGCATTGGAAAATTCCTATGGGCTATCATTTTATTGATAGTTTAAATGAAGAAGAAAGAGCACGGTTTGTATCACAATGTTTAACGAGTTTGCATGATATTGGAATCAACGTAGTTTCACTGACATTCGATGGAGCAGAGTAATGTAAAAATGGCTAAGAAGCTAGGTGCAGAATTTAATTTTACAGAAAAAGCGAGCATGCATTTTCCGCATTCTGTTACCAAAGAGCCTATTTTTGTAATAATTGATGCCTGTCATGCCATTAAACTAGTTCGGAATGCGTTAGCTACAAGAAAAATTCTGTACGATAATGAAGGAAATGCTATAGAATGGAAATATTTTCAGGCCCTTGTAAGAGTACAATGTAAGTATGGACTACATGCAGCCACAAAAATCAGAAAACGTCATTTAAACTAGGCCCAAGAAAAGATGAAAGTTAAATTAGCAACACAGACATTCAGCGCGAGTACAGCTCACGCGCTCCATTTTCTTAGATGTGATGTAAAACATCCCGAATTTGTTGGATCTGAAGCCACAGAAAAATTTTGTCTCATTATGAATAATTGTTTTGATCTCCTGAATTCTCGACAAAAAGTGGCTAAAGTTCCCAGTAAACAATGCATAAATAGAAACAACGTAGCTGAAATCCGATCAAATATTCAGTTATACAAGACTTTCATCAGTACACTTAAAGATGGTAATAAACCGATTTTTGAGTCAAAACGAAGAATGGGTTTCTTTGGTATCATGAGCGCCTTAGAAAATGTTATTGCTATATTCGATAAATAGTCAACGTCAGAAACTGCACCCTTAGAGTATTTGCTGACATACAAACTCTCTCAAGATCACGTCGAGCTCTTCTTCTCAGCTATTAGATCTCGCGGTAGACACAACAACAACCCGACCGCCAAGCAGTTTGAGTCTGCATTCAAGTGGTTATTGGTTTATGCGCAAATCAAAGGCTCAGATAATGCAAATTGTCTACTTCAAGATAGTACTTGTTTATTACAAACTCCCAAAGTTCTCGATAAGCCGGCTCCTAAAACTCATGATAATGATATTTACGACATGCATAAAATCAGTAAAACTCTTAGGATTTCTTCAAGCACTTCTTTAGATCATGACCATTGTATACCCTCGCTATTTAAAAATGTTAATAAAACGTACATTAATCACATTATCGCGTACATAGCAGGTTTTATAGCTAAGAGTCTAAGTAAGTCTGTTAAATGTGTGGATTGCGTAAAATTGCTCAAGTCAGAAAAATGTTTCTCCGCTATACAGACTAAGAAAGGTAAGGCCAGGTAGCGCACATGGTCTTTTTGACGTCAATTTAAGGTCATTTTTCGTCCAAGACGTCATATGTCATTTATATGACGTGTATTTGGCGTCTTATTGTGGACGAAAGTATGACGTCATGAAAAGGACATGAATTAGACGTTATTTTAAGACCAAATTTGGTACACTACAATTTTATTTTTATTTTTTGAGTTTTTCTTAATTAAAACAGATCCATATAGCATAAAGCTTGCAAGAAAATGCAGGAACGTTACAAGTTGCAATGCAATGTTGTAGAGACAATTGCAACATTTCGTTGAAATATTAGAACAACATTGCAGAAATATTATAAGAATAATAGAAAATATAGTACTATAACTTACTCCGTGAACATATATGCACATACATAAAGTAAAGGTTGATTTCTTTTAGATTTATGTTTCTTTAAATTTGATTTCTAATTATTTTTCAACTTTGATTTAATTCATTAAATAAATTCTTTATTTTGTTAGGTAGCGTCTTTAGGCGTTCTCATATATTGTTAACATTATTATATTAATATTATATTATGTTAAATATACGAATTTTATATTAATTATTATTGTACATTAATTGTAATTACGTTATTATTTTTAATATTTACCGGTTATTATCATTACACAATTTTTTAACACTATAAAGATATGTTATATAGGAGTATTAGTAACAAGGAAGCGCCAGAGTCAAAGGATCACCACTAGTCCGTTCGATCATCGATGTCAAGCAACGTTAAGTGCGGTACTGATTGGGATGGGTGACCGCGCGGCTGTATGCACACACAACATATACATAATAAATGTATTTTTTTTTTGTTTTTCTAAAATTCTTAATTTACAAAAGCATTATACATATACATATATAAGGCATATACATACCCTTAAATGACTCATATTTATGTCATTTTTAGAGCATTTTTAAAATTATAATGACTTACGTCATATACTGATGTAAATTTGACGTCATCCGATGACGTTATTTATGCTGTGACAAATGGCCATCAATATAGGGTCATTTAGACGTCATACTGACCGTCAGTTTGACGTACGTTCTGGCGAATGCGTACGTAAAAAAAACGTCTAATTGACGACGTTGTGCTACCTGGGAAATGTCAAGGTAGATTAATGGAAGCTTCGGCTGATTTAATACAAACATGTCTAATAGCAGAAGAACGTTTTAGAACGCACAACGTTTTTCAAACCAAAAACATTTCCAACGTCTTGATAACAAGTTCTCTTGAATATATTCCACCCACTGTGTTTGAGAATAAGAGAAACTGCGAAGATCATCACCGTTTAAAACTACTTATTCAAATTCTAAAAATTTTTTTAAAGTTTGATTACATCATGAAGGAACATCCAACTTAGAACAACAAGAGCAGCTTAGAATAAAGATCGAAATGTAACAAAACTGTTTTATTTAAAAATCAATAAAATTTCTCGAAATTAAATGTAACATTTTTGTTATTTTTGTATAGTATATAATATATACAATGTTTATATTGACTTGTAACATGTGTTATGTGAAATGGTTATAATGCAAAATATATTACAATATTTGAAAAAAAATGTGCAAAATTTTTTTCATGAAAACAGCTTTCTCTATGAGGAAGCAAAAGGTTATGCACAGAAATTCTTGTGTATTACTATTTATTTGATTGTATTACTATATATCCGCGTATTATACTAAACATCTCGAGTACTTCCAAATCGTCGCGTCGCGTAAAAGAGTCACGGTCGGTCTCACTCCGCGTGTACTTGGTGCGAAACACTACCGTGTATCTTGATTTTCCGAAATTGTATAAAACAGTATCTAAATGCTCTTTAAAGTATATGAATAATGAGAATAGTCGTTAATGGAACAAATAATAACACTGAATCAAATCGTAACGCAAAAAATTGAAAATAAATTGTTGACCCCCGGGTGTAAACGCCCGTTACCACGCTACTGAGTAGAAAAAGACAGAGCTTGACCTCTACCGGTCGCTATCTCTTTCTTTCCGACCGGTCACATTTTTCTATACCTTCGCGCAGTCCATACTATATGTCGATGTCTGCGGCCATATGCACATGCTCAGTGGCCGCACGCGCATGCAAGAAGTCACGTGATAACTGTTTGGTTGGTAAGTCAGAAGTGTAACATATAATTCAAAATGATATTCTTTCGGCGTATAGATTAGTGACGCGCTTTAAAAGTATTTAAATGTTTAAAGCGCGTCAACTAACTTATGCTGGTATGCTACAGAGCATCATTTTGAGGTTAGAATGCACAAAAGTATATTAAAAATAGTAAATTATACATACCAGAATACTCTACTGCAGCAAATACTCGAAAAACACAAATTTTTTTTGTTTGAAAAACACGGATTTTGTAACGTTCCGTACGAACTCTGTGTAGACTACCCGAGTTCAATTTTCAAACTCGTATACCTTGAGCACCAAACGTAGACTGAAGTGATGTGCGATTCTGAATCGATTTTCATGAAAATCGATTTTCTCGTCAAGAAAAATCGATTTTTGTATCGATTCCACAGTATCCGATTTTTGAGAGAATCGATCTTTATAAGGCCAAAATCGATTTTTTTGTGCTGTTTTCTGACGCGGAATGACCGTTTTTAACTCTGAAATTAATAGTCAGAGCCGGGATTTAGTTGCACATTTCGGGCCGATTCCCGAGGCGACGCCTCCTATACCCCCATTACCGCACGAGGCTCAGCGGCCGAGCTTCGGTTTAAGCCAATGAAACTGCTGCTTTTCTGTAAGAGCTGCAAGTTGATTGGCTTAAACTGAAACTTGGACGCAGTTCTAGCATCGTGGACACAAGGCTCTAGAGGCTCTCTAGTCGTAGGCAGATAGATTCTCGTTAATGATACATATATCGAATTTGGTTCGTTATTCGATCGTCAATCGTCATCGTTGTTCTGAGACATTCTACTGATATCGGTGAATATTAAGATCAAGCCATATTGACCTCGTATTAGAGGCAGGAGCCAAGACAAACGTAAGAAGGTAAGAAGAAGAAGGTGAATATTAAGTTTTAAATAGATAATGACGTTTGAAAACGCATGCTGTTAACCTTAAATTTACTATCCTTTGCATAGCACTTTACCCTATTTTTCGCACTAATACAGCAGATTGTTGTGGGCTGATAGGTTCTAAGTAATGATATGTTTTGTGTTCATGTGCACGGAATTTCCAAAAGGAAGAAGAAATTTTTATTAACTTTTATTGGACTCTCTGGGCTTTCATTGGTTTGTTTTTGTCTCTAACCAGGGTAAACAGTAAGCAAAAAAAAATATTTGTTTTAAATAATGTCGAATAGCATGACCTACTCAACATTACTCAAATAACTTTTTTTACACTTTTTTAGTACACTCATCTGCATGACAAACTATATTTCGATCTGACGTTCTCTTTACTGCTTTAAAATATGATTGTTTTTGCACTTTGCAGTGTCTGCTAAGTCAAAGAAGAGTTCTACGTGGAAATATTTTGTAAAAGGTGAAGGCAGTGCTTCATGCAAAATTTGTCATGTTAATGTTAAAACAAGTGGCAACACGACGAATTTGATGGGCCACCTTAAACGAAATCATCTCGAAGTCATTGAAGCAGAGCCTACAATCAAGAAAATGCATCTGAACTCAGAATCTAATGTATGACTTAATGAAAGTATTTGATTGGTTTTTTAATATGTACATTCTCTCATATTCTCTATATTCTAATGTAGGACAAACAAAGTGAGGCTAATAATCCAGATGATCCTGCTAGGATACAAACTGAAGAGATAGAATGTAGTGAGATTGTCGTACTGTCAGATTCATCAAATGTTTCAACCACATCCAGGCCTGGCTCATCTAAATCTGATGCTTCATCATCATTTCAGTCAAAATCTGAACAACCAAAGATTGACAGTATATTTCAAGATGTACAATTCTTCCGAAGTAAAAATTAATTTAAATTTTTATTTTTTTCTCGTGCCTTGTTTTTTGAGTAATTTCGTATCTGCTCTTTATATTAAAACAAAATATAATATGTATATATATGTATATATAATATAATAATAATATATATAATATGTACATAATAATAAATGTATATATAAATAATAAATATAATAAATATATGGATTAAATATATAGATTTAAATATATAGAATAATAAATTTTATTTATTTTTTCAGAAGGTGAGGCTAATAATCCAGATGATCCTGCTGGGATACAAACTAAAGAGATAGAATGTAGTGAGATTGCCGTACTGTCAGATTCATCAAATGTTTCAACCACATCCAGGCCTGGTTCATCTAAATCTGATGCTTCATCAACCTTTCCTTCAAAATCTAAACAACCAAAGATTGACAAGACATTTCGAGATGTACAATCCTTCCGAAGTAAAAATTAATTTTAATTTTTATTTTTTTCTCGTGCCTTCTTGTTTTTTGAGTAATTTCGTATCTGCTCTTTATATCAAAACAAAATATAATATGTATATATATGTATATATAATATAATAATATATATAATATGTACATAATAATAAACGTATATATAAATAATAAATATAATAAATAATAAATATAATACAATATAATAAATAATAAATATAATAAACATATAGAATAATAAATGTTATTTATTTTTTCAGAAGGAGGTTACAAAGCTGGTCAAATTACAAACGCTATTTTATTTATGATAGCGAAGGATAATCAGCCTTTTCAAATAGTGGAAGACGAAGGATTTCAACATTTCGTTAAAACAGCAATTCCTCTGTATAAGGTTCCTGACCGAAAATCTATCACACGTCTGATGGAAGAAAAATACGAACTATTATCCATGGTTATGAAAACGAAGCTTTCGGCTGTGGATGCAATAACGTTAACATCAGACGTCTAGACGGATACTTTGAATACTCGAAGTTATTTAGGAATGACTGCACACTTTATGTCGGAGAATAAACTACAATCCGTTATGCTAGGCGTGACTCCACTCGAAGAACGACATACAGCAGATTATTTGAGCGAATGGTTGCTGAATACCTGTACCCAATGGAGAATCGCGACAGAGAAAGTTGTCGCTGTTGTAACAGACAACGGCGCAAACATACTGAAGGCAGTCACTGATAGTTTCGGAAAACACAAACACATAGGATGCTTCGCTCACACTTTGAATCTTGTTGCATCCAAGATCATCGATGAAGAACCGATGGTTCACGCTTTGTGCGAGAAAGTAAAAGCACTTGTCACGTTTTTTAAACAATCTGTAGCAGCGGCGGATGAACTCAGAAAATATACTAATAAAAGACTGATTCAAAGTGTTTCCACCAGATGGAATTCGACGTACTTTATGCTCGATCGATTTGTTGAAATATCAGAAAGCGTCAGCGCAGTACTGCTCAAGTTTCCAAAATCGCCTGCAATGTTATCAGCAAGTGAATTGCAGCTTGCAAGAGAGACGATCCAAATATTGAAGCCTGTCGAAAACGCATTGCGAGAAGCATGTGGCCAAACTTATGTAACGGCCAGCAGAGTCATCCCTTTAGTAAACTTCCTCAAGAATAAAATTGATAAATTGGAGACGAATTTGACCACAAGCGGAGGAACTAAGTTGAGAAATCTACTTTTGGCCAATTTTGAGAAGAGATTCGGAAATGTCGAATACATTACTCTTTACGCTATTTCGACGATCTTGGATCCAAGATTCAAAAAATTGTATTTTAATAATCCACTCGCGTACTCTCAAGCGCTGCAAAAGATTATAAGAGAAATGAAATTGATTTCTAAAGAATCACTAAATATTCAAAATAAAGAAAACTTTACTCCAGAAGAAGAGCTCCCCAACGATGATAGTGCATGATAGTCTCTGGTCTTACCACAAGAGCCTCCTCAGTAAACATCAGACAATTAATGAAGAAGAAATCTCTTCGAGAAATGAAATGCCGACAGACCTAAAACATTACGTTAATCAATCGACATCTAAATTAAATGATGATCCGTTGAACTACTGGAATAATAACAATATATATCCAATATTAAAAAAGGTAGCACTTTGCTACTTATCTATAGTGGCAACGTCTGTCCCGTCGGAACGGTTATTTTCCAAGGCGGGTAATATTCTAACCGAACGTCGAAACAGGCTTTCACCAAAACACTTGCAGCAATTACTATTTCTGTCATCGCTTGCATATAAAGACTGGCTCAATGATTAATAAAGAAAATTGAAAAAGATCAATGCGTTATTTAAAGTACTTTTTACTCTTTATCTTATAGAAACTACGTAACTCCTAAGGACCAGTTTCACAAGTATCGGTTAACTTTTAATCTTAGATTAACTCACTCTTTGTCTCTTTCTAAGGGGGACGTTAGATTCGTTAGAAGGAGATGAAGAGTGAGTTAATCTAAGATTAAAAGTTAACCGACACTTGTAAAACTGGGCCTAAATCGTTTAAAAAATTACGTTTAAAAAATCGATTTTCACGAAATCGATTTTTTCCACTCCGATTTTTATGGGAATCGATTTTTACATGTACGATTTAAAATCGATTCGGAAATCGATTTTTATCATACGATTGCACATCAAGTGACGCTGCCCCTTGGCGCTTACATAGTAGCTACCTCAAAGATTTTTCTCCCCCCGGTACGGACCCCCACCATTCACTTCCTTTAAAATGGCGCTACTTTCAAAATTCGCTCGGGTTATGCTAACCCAGATTGTACCCTGAGGGCTAAGATCAACGAAATCGGTGAGGAGGCCCAAATTCTGCATATTTACCATATTTTGGAATATATACCTTTTTTTGTATCCCCTTCCGTTCTCTCTCTCTCTCTCTCTCTCTTTCTCTCTTTGTTGAAAAATTCTCTCTTGAAACTCTTTCTGTAACCTCGCACTGTCAAACGCGAAACCAATTTGACCTTTTGACACGCATTGACAAGCCGTTAACACTCAATAAGCGAGATAACTAACCAACATAATTAAATATCAATTTCACTCTTATGATAATTTCGAGATTTGATCTGCATATAAGCGAGATAACTAATCAGCATCAAGGAATGTGAGCGTGTGAATGTGGTTTACACTGATTGTACTGACCAAAACGGTATGAACGCGTTTTGAGTGACAAACTGGCTTTGCGTGTGTGAGTGCAAACGCGTGTCCGTGTGACTGAAATCTGAACTTCTTGCTGAGATCTCGCCAAAAAAATTCACATTTTTGACATGTGAGATTTCAAGATCTCAGTATTGACTTCACTAATCTTAATCAGATTGGTCGCAATCGAAAGCTCGTATCAATGTTATATTAGAAAAGTGTTGTCAGATTTTCGATCGCAGTTTTCTTTCTTGAGATATTTGATTTGGAAAATCGATCGGCCCGAAAACTCCAGATAAGTTACTTAGTAGCGTCGTCTGCTAGCTCTCTCTTTATGTACTTGGCGTCGCGACCTTCAACTTGGCTATCGCGTCGCTTGATTATGACATATTCAATTTTTGTAGATAACAAAAGAATATGCATAATGTTTTATGCAATGAATGAAAATGATATGTGCATATTGCTGAAACATTTTTTATAGACTCATATGTATATTGTAACTATAAGTTTTCTAATTTATGTAAAAAAAAAATGTTTTATTTAACAATTGAAATTATTGATGTCAAAGTGCATTAAAATTATAATTTTTTATTATTTATGTCTGTCTGATAATATGTCTGTTTGATAATATGCAACGATTATCACTTATGTCTGTCTGATAATATACAACTATTATTACTCTTGATATTTAGATCAGAAAAGAATTTCGAAAATAATCGTTCCAATGCATATAGCGTACATGCAACAGTACAAAGTGCGCTAACTATCGCACTTGCATTCGTTTTGTCAAGTGTGTATCAATGGGATCTAGATAACTTATACTAGTACTTAATTATATTTATATTAGTCTGCAGTTCAAAAAATATAAATAAAATAAACATTAAGATGTTCACAGCGCTCCATATTTTAGATAATTAAAGCATATTTAATTGGTTTTGTTGTTTTTTTCTTCGTCCGACTAAAACTGTATAATGTACATTTTAGAGATAGATATATGCATTTCTAATATATCACTAATACATAATGTGAAAGAAGCCAAAACATTTATCAATTCTCGTCATTCACTCTTCTCACTATCGCCGCCGTCGTCGTCGCAATCGTCACCCGCAGGACAATCTCAAAAACCTCGCAACATCATTCTCTCCGATATCTCGCAACACGCGTCTCCCAAATTTGTTCTATTTGATCTCGGCTAAGCCTCCAAAAAGATGTAGTGTGCAGTATTTATTATACTTTGTTATATATATATATATATATATATATATATATATATATATATATATATATAATTATAATATAACAAATGCGTCTCAATAAGCTTAAACAAAACTTGCAACTAATTTGCACGATGGCCTCAGAACTTTTTTCTGCGTGAGGACGAATGTTTTTTTCGTGATCGTTATGTTTGAACAATAAATACAGAAGGACACATATAAGATATCGCTCTGACTTGACAATTATTGGCCTTGATCTAAAGTTAAATATCCTATTAATTTATTAAAATTTTACATATAATTTGCAAAATCTGATATATGCATGGATAAACCAAATTCAATCTTAATTTCTGCTATAATTTTATTTTCTATAATTATTTGATAATTTCACAAGTAAAATATCTCAAAAGTTGAATTAATATGAATAGATCATTTAGTACTTACAAA